CCCCTTCCCCTATGATTTACTTCTCAACTATGATTGATAAAACAATTTCGTCGTTTGAAATTTTCATCGCGAGTCTGACACGTTATTATAAGGCAACGGGTTAATCACCAAAAATAAGAATGAATGATACGTATTTCTATAATGTCATAAGGATTTAAATGTGTTCAAGTGATCGTTGGAATGAATGAGGCACACGTTTTAATTTATTTCGAAAAGTAAAAGTTTCAGAGAGTTGAATGGATAAATAAATGAATTTAATGAATACGTAATATTTTCGTATCGTTATCAATGAAATTTAAAACATAGATTTTATTTTCAATTGTGGACATGAAATAGCGTCACTAGACCCGGGGAAGCGTCAGTGATTCCTAACGCCGTAGTGCGTTGCAGCATACAACTGTAACAGCGTGATTTCGTATTGTGCTTTTGATTTGAAAATTATTGTAGAATAAGCATGATAAATAGAGGAATATCCTTCTGTTATTATACTTTTAAAATGTCCATTAAACATAAGATTATTTCATATTCCCACATTCAGTTTATTTCGTTTCATTCAAATTAATGATTTACAGTGTCCAAGTAATATAATTTACGAAGTACTTGATTTCAATGGAAACCATTAATATGTAAACATGATTTATGCGTAATGCACTTTATTTTCTTTCATGCGATTAGTAATCCACACGTATCCGTTCAAACCATCGAAGCGACATTTTACGCAGTCATAAATTACGAATTCTAAACATTCTTTCTTCTGGACACATCACCGCGGATAAGTGGTTTGCATTTTGCTGTGTAGAATTCCCTTCTCACTAATAAATGTGAAAATATAAAAGTAATGAGACAATTCATAGGTTTGCAAAGTGGATATACTAAATATTGCTGCTTTTTATGCGAATGTGCTAGCCGGGCAAAGTTACATCATTATATAATTGAAAGTGATTTGCCAGTGAGAATAAATTTTGCTCCAAACTGAAAAGTGTGAAGCGTAAAACTGAACTGAATGGATAAAGTATATACGATAAAGAAAATCTCATGAAAAATCAGCAATTCTCCTAAACCATGATCAAGATGGCAAATAAAATATGAACTGCATACAAAAACCTATACATAAGTTCTTTCTCTTCTTGTTTAAAGATGTTAATAATTAAAAAAGTTAATCAAATATTAAATAAATCAACTTCTTTTTACATTACTCTAAGAAACATGTATTGCAGATGGTACTACAACTAATATGTGCTTATTGGCAACAAAAATGCAACATGTCTCTAAAAATGAAATTCGTTAGCTGTAACCTAGATTTTTTTGTAATGAATGTAGTGTAACATTTTATTCCAACATTAAGGTAATATAGAATGAGCACTTATTCTTGGTGCTAAAATAAAAATTATTTATAAGAGAACTTTAATTATTTATAAAAGAAATTTAATACTAATAAAAAATAGTTTTAGATGTACGAATGCTTCTTCTGTTACGAGTAACTTTGTACAAAATAAATATAACGTTGAAACAAACTGCGAAGAATCTGAATCGGTTACTGGCATTGAGAAACACTGTCCGGTATCTGGCATCTCGCAATAGCACTTTATTTTTTCAATAAAAAACAAAATTTCCAATATAGCATTCATTGAAAATTTTCATATGGGTGAATGTAATTAGATTTTTTCTGGAATTCCGACTTTTCAAATAAATTAAGAGGTATTAAGAAAACCAAAAATTAAATTGACTATATTATTATTTATATTTACAGTTGGCGCAACTTTTATCGAACAAGTGCCAATAATTTAAACACTTTATTTATTTTATCAAGAATTTTCCATAAACTGCGAGTTTCAACTCTGCATCCAACGCATAAAATCTAAAAGAATCGTTTATCAATTAATAAAACATCGATTACAGTTCGCTTCTGCTTTCTAAAAGCATTATTTACTTCTATTCTAACCTAAAATGAATTATAGCGCACGAAATTGTACGGCGCGTGGAATCGATATTTTTTTCGAATTTCGAAATTATTTCTGTCGATTGAAAGATCGAAAAAGCAATTAATGTAAAAAGAGGAACTCCGCATTGGATAGAGTTAAAAGAAACGTCAGAACCATTTCTCGGATCGAATTCATGTGGAACAGTAGGGGCCGACGAACTGTCGCGGACGTAATCGAACTTTATCGGGGAAAGCAGCGGGAGCAGCCGAAACGAAAGCATACAGCTTTCCTGCGTCGTCGCAAGACCCGACAGTTGCCGAATTTTAAATCGGGGATAATATGGCGTATATTTTTACTACACCAGAACAGCATCAATATAGGAAATCATTCATAATAAATATATTGATAAGTTAATACATTAAAAAGAGAATCACAAAAATGCGAAATAACACGGTAAGTATATATGCAAAAAAAACGTTAACTTCGATGAAAAATCACCTTGAGCAAAGTTAGAAATGCAAAAATTATTCAGTTTCATAAAAAATATTTGTATCCCGTCATTCCGTTGGAAACAAAATTAGTGCGCACGTTTTGCGTTAACAAAACATTTTTATGCTATTTTCTAACCTATATGTGTATTGTTAAGAAATTGAAATTACTCTCCTTTACAAAAATATTTATCATTTTGTACCATCCACCGAAATATTGAAACAAAGACAGATTCTTTAACAACTATTGTTATTGTTACAAGATCTAACCAGACTCCAGAATGAAATTAAATTGATAAAATAAATTTTAAAACTACAATTACCGAGTAATCGAAATAATTCATACGTAATTTTTTTTATGAAAATTACAAGAGTACTTGTCTTAATTTTCCACATTGTATTCACTGTATTGTATGCATGCAAATACCAATTTCTCAAATAATGCGGAATGTAAACATCTTTATGATTTTAGTAATCGTAAAATAAAAAAGTTATTTTAACTAATGTAATAATTTTGGCGTCAAAAATATTACCAACCCCCCAGCCCATTCAGCCACGCGACCGCCACCTAAAAATCACCAAACAATTACGAAAGGCAGGCAACCGAACCGGCGAAAGAGCAACACAGTAAGCCCGGTCAGGCTTGTTCTTGAACGACTATTTGTAGGAATGTGATACGCTGTGACTATTACAAAAAATGTATCCGTCTAACCACTATACCCGTAATCACTATATACGTATACCACACCGTCAAAACGACTGAAAAAGGAGAGACACCCTAGAGGCATTTTGTACAGACTGTTTCTAAAATAGGTGGCCAAACGCACACGAGACACGTTCCACGCATCATTCGCGAGAGGGAGCAAAAATTCCTTCGGTCGAGCCTTCGAAATGTTTCCACGTCAAATTTCGATTATCGATTGCAGCACAACTAATTGTCGATTCACTTTGATTTCCATCGAACGGAACATTCTTTATGCTGAAAACACTCTTGAAAATCGTATATACCATTTTCATCGACCTGTCAATCGCAGTGAAGTTCGTCGGTATGGGCATCAAAAATATCGATCCGAAATCTATATTAACACGCAACGATCTAATGTATGAAGAGATTTGTACACAAAACACGACGTCCGTTTGAAACAGTGTCACACTGTAGCGAGATCGCTTGACGGCGAGTGACAGAAGCTGACAGGAAAACATTTCGAACGCGCCTACGGTCACTGAATTTTCCTCGGCCTCTAAATAGAACAACGTACGCTCCTGACTTTCGACTGCCTCTATTTTCGAAGCATCCTGTACCTAGGTAGAAATGCATAAAGTCTGCATCGATAGGTCGGTATGTATCGCACTGGCACAATCGAGGTTATCGGAGTTCGAGACGAGATGGTTGTTCCTAGTCTCGGGACAAGGGACTTTCGAACGGCGGAAACAATGTCTGACACAGTTTTCGAAGTTCGTCGAAAGGCGAAAGGAACATTACGAGAGATGATCTTGTTTTCGACGATTCTATCGGAGATCGTGAATCGTGGCACGGGTATTCGGAACGCGCGTTGATGATCGAACGATATTCACTGCAATAGATGCAACAGCTACCGGTTGTCGGCCCTGCTGCAACCTCTTTAATTCTCTGACGAGCAGAAAACTCGGGGCCGACATGAATCAGGCATGACATTGGGTCGCATAACAAACTTCAAATCCCACTGACGCGTTCTTCTCTATACATGCAAATACATACGCGTACATGTTCATCTCTCTCCCTCTCTCTCTCTCTCTCTCTATACATACATATATATACATATAGGTGTATATATGCATATCATGTATATGTACACACATATATACACATATACATATACAAGTATATACATATTCATGTATAGTATACAATAAATATATATATATATATATATATACATACATATATATATACATATATATATATATAAATACATTATATACAAGATGTATCCGTATATGTATATATATATATATACATATGTATGTATATATGTATATATATACATGTTTATGTATAGATACATACGTGTGTATATACCTATACATGTATACTATGGGTGTACATTAGCAGTGGCAGAAGGGAAGAGCAGAGTGGAGGGGAGGGGAGTGCCGCGATACACAACACCGACGTCGACAACGAACGATCGAGTACTGCCCACGGGAATTCTCCGATATATAGGTTAACCCGGGCGACTTTTACTCGCAACGTTACGGAGTACCGTTAAGCGGTCGTTGGACAACTGGTCCCTGGCCGCTGATGTCGAAGCCCCGTTCATTCGATACTCCAAACACAGACAAGATATGCGGGCCGACTCTCGCCAAGAGTGGGCTCACTGATCACTCACCAATGCGAAGAAATTTGTGTGGCAGTCCTCCAGGCTAGCGCCGTTCGTTTGATGCGACGGATGCGTCATGGCTTCTCCATCGTACGCCGTACACTCATTAGTAACACTTCTTGCGGCGGCGCGCCTCTCTCAGCCCGAAAATCACACGGCGAGGCCGCTATTATTCGAGAACATTTAGGAGGGTTTTCACTTCTCAATGGCGACCGTAAAATGGCGGACGATAGGAAACAACAAGCGCAGCCGCCCGAGGCGACCCCTACCGCTCACTCGCGCAGTTCGCTTCGACGACGAGGAAGAAGATGGCGGCGTTCATGAGGCATGGTTTACTTGCGAATCACTTGAAAAGTACATCCCCTATTCTTGCCGTGAACACGGTCAGTGAACACTTCACGTACACTTTTTAAACACTATCATCACCGAAAGCTCCCCGTTGGGAGCCATACAGTTTGATATATACGATTCAACCATTAACGAGACCACCGTCATTTTACAGACAAGCTTCCGATTCGATATTACTCGCCTTAAAAGCAAGAAACCTTCCCAAAAGCCGATCCGTAAACTCGAAGATCAGAAGAAGTCTCTTGCTGTGAAAGGGTAAGTGAATTACTGGACTCGCGAGCGAATTTCAGCAAATATTCACGTTACGTCGCGCCGCTTGCTAACAGCCAGAGGACACACTGTGGCCATATTGCCGTTTACCATCTCTCTTTTACGCGGTGACCAATCAGCAGCCGGTTTTGACAAGTTCTCAGGGCAGACACCCGCGACATTGGCGCCCCGCAGAATAATTTCGAATTGTTTACTGTAATGTATTTGAAAAATAATGATATTCTTTTCATGAACGAAGCCGACGTTGTAGTCAAAATATTTAATAACTATGCGTAGTATTATACGGAAATTGAAAGTATACATTGCCATGCATTTTTTATGGAAGAAGCAATTACTACATTTCAAGTAATGTTCTCGAGCCCAACGTTTATTCGTTCTATGTCTCCATACGTATGCTCCGTTTTACTAAGTGATAGATGTATCTATAACGAAACTCGAGTTTCTTCCTTTAGACACATCTCAATTTTTATAAAATTGCAGTTTTGCATCAAATTGATTCGAATTTATGAATACCTAAGTATTAAATACGTCTACCTTTTCCTGTGACGTAATGGCTAGCCATACCCTTTTACACAGCTATACGAGACTTTCTGTTGACCACAATTATTTTTTTTCGGTTCCGTTACTTCATAATGCTTATTATCTTTGAGAAACGGTACTCGTTGCATCTACTTTTTAAGAAAAAGGTTAGGAATCCATAAGCCTTTCTCAGTACCAATTTGTCGAACCGAATAAATGTAATTTGACATTTTTTTATCCCATTTGTGAAAACTGTTCAGATAAATTTGTGAATAAAAATAAAGCAAATAGAACAAAAATATTTATAAGAAAAATAAAATTCAACAAACAATTCAATATATACATATATACATGTATACACATTTTTTTCGGTTTCTAGTTATATCAGTTTTCAGTGAGAACATCTGCTTCCAAGACCAAGTTTCTCTGTCCTTGTAATTAACACTGAGAAACTATCGCCCTTCTCTCGTTGCATAGATCAAGATTTACGTGCGCACAAAGGAAAATGGTACTGCGCAATAATTTTTCTAAACGAGTAATATCTTTTAAATGATTTTCATCTGAAAATTATATAAATTTGTTACAAAATTGGTGAAACTGAAAAGTATTTGGATTAGATCAATTAGCAGATAGCATTTCGAATCTGTGACAAATTTTCTTCAGCATAAGCAGAAGATTTCTGTAATCACAGGGGTTTCCTATTCTCGACTTCGTTCCTGGCTAATATTGGCCATAACTGTATCCTGTGAAAATACAACTGGGGGCACCACTGTACGGTCGTTGGACATCGATCTTGTCCCTTCTCCTTCCACCACCCTTTACACCATTACCCTCGTCTTCCAAACGAAGCCTCCCTTGCCGCCTCTACTCTTACAGATTTTTACACTATATGAAAAATTTGGCGCGACTTTTTTTTTGCCAATTTTCTTGACAAATGAAATTTTTAGGAACCCATTACAATGCGTTATCGGTATACGTTACCGGCAACAAAAATCATTGTACATCTTCGATATTTTCGGGAAGAAATCTGTTGCATTGATACAGACTTTCTCGTATGCTTGATGCCATACAATTGCTTTCAGATTGGAATAAAATGCTCTTCGAAAAATTAACTGAAAATTTTCATGAATGAAAACATTTGATCGAAGACTAGATATTCCTCGATGATTACAAGTTTTAGTATAGTTGAGATTAAATTGAAAAGAAGTTTTAAGAATGATAATAACACTATTTCAGAGAAAAAAATTTTGTTAGAGAAGAGTTAGGTTCGCTATTGAAATGTAAAGACAAGGTATAAATAGTTTGAAATTGAAAGATACTAATTTTATGTTATATATTATTGTTCTTAATTCTTCCATGCATTTTGAATAAATTTAGTTATGTATTATTTCGACTGTTTCAGATTTTTACACTACCAAAAATCTTATGACCCGCCGAAAGATGTATGTGATCGGATAGATAAAATTTGTGAGAATCATTCAATTCCTGTGGACAATCAAACAAAACTGCATGATCCTCTTCAACGTTTCCATCTTTTCTCAGCTTGCGAGATAGAACTTGAACATTCCATACCGAATTCTACACTGTACGAAATCGAGACGATACGTAAGAATTCTAAAATTATTAATTATGATTTGATTTGATGTAACACATTTTTTTATATAGTTAGTAATTAAATTACTTTTGTATTTTTAGATGATCTGAAACAGTTCTATCAATCGCCTGTGAACTCCCGAGTTCCTCTCGAAATGATGAAAAACATGGATTTACCGAAAAATTTGCAGATTAATCAGGAATATGTGCGATTCCATCCCGGTGAGTTAATCAATTAATTTTTAATGTTATAACGACAACATGTATGATTGTTCGATAACGTTGCTTTAGATACCGATACAATGTTTGGCGGAAAAACTGCATTTCCCAAGAGCTCGACTCTTGTGACGGGTTTGAAATATAAGAAGAAATATCCTGGACATCAACAAGAAGATCCGTATCTTGAAGAAATGATGAAAATCTAACGACTGCACTGCGTATTTGAATCTGTTAATTACATTTTATAGAAGCTAAATAAATATTATTATTTCTGACTGTATTCTTAATATAATTGCTAGATTCTGGATATTCACATAAATTATATTTTCATTGATTAATTTTCAAAAATGGAATTACCATAAAAGTTCTTACCATGATATGTTCTACATATTCACATTTATTTAAGATCATACTTAGAAACATGAAAAGGTAATAAGATGATAAGAGTATAAAAATATGTTTTATCTATTTTATTTATTGCAAATAAAGAAACTATATAACGCTATACACTGCACACTCACATTCTCGAATGTGTTTCGCATTTTTGAATAATTGTAAACGAGAAAAACACTTGTCGTTTTATGCATTTTCAACTTGTACTTGGATGTGAAAGGTAGCCATTAATTTATCATCTATTTGAATTTCAGACTTCATATCGATTAACAATGAACTTATATTGTATTCTTGGACTTGATGTCAACTCTGACAAACAAAACTCCTGCATTCGACCCTTAAAATTTAAAAAACTAAGTTTATAGTGTCGTTTTTTACTTGAGTTGCAGAGCATGAATCGTTGTCGAGCATCAATCAATCCACAAATGTTATTACTCTGGAGCTCTATGAATGGTTGTGTACGAGTTTCTGTTACTGTGCTCAAAACAACATTATCCTTGAATATCTTTGTGGCAATCTGTGAATGGAAACGTCGTTCACGTTTATTTATCTATTACTCATTGCCGTGAAATGACATATAATTTTTATATACATCACACTTGGACAGTTCATCTTAAGGAGACCTTACACTTTCTCGGTCGAAAATTCTGACAATTTTTGTGGGACTGATAAAGTAATGAAAAAACATTTTTGAGTCCGTAATTTTGTTGACATGCATCTTAAGTCTTCAAATACAACAAAAAATTTTTATATAATTTTATAAATTTATATTTTATAGGGGTTTTTTGCAGCTTCATGGAGGTCATTTTAAAAATTATGCTCTTCTAGCGTGCACGATTGTGGCTCACTAGAACGTCATAAAAAAAAACATAATTATACTTAGAAAAAGTATGACTATGGCCCCAGTATAGACTACAATTATTTTATTTGAGCAAAAATTCACAAAATGGTGGACCTCCAAAGTTAGTGGTCTCCAAAAATAGCATTTTCTTCGTAAAAGAAACGTTAAACATTGAGGAAAAAATTAACTAATCCTATTTATTCTCATCTATACTGGAGCTATTGTTGTGTGGAAGAACATATTAAAATTTCAGACCGATTGGTTAAATGGTTTTTAAGTTATCATGCATGCTGATTACAAAAACGTTGTTTTGAGAAAAACGCGTTTGAAATTTTGACAAATGAATTGTCACATATAAAATCTTCTTATGTTCAATCAGTTATGCCTGATGCATACAAAATTCCTTCCGACTCCTCATACGCCTAGTTCTCATAAGTTCTTTTCTCTCTCGTTAAATTCATTTAATTAATACTAATAAATTAATTTAACACGGCCGAAATGCCGCGTGGTCGATTTGGGCTGCCTTACACTTGGTGCTACAATTGTCTATAACTTCGAAAGTATTTCGAATTTTCCTCTGAAATTTTAAGAGAATGTTATTAAAATATGATACTTTCCAATAGGATACTTTCTAAAAAGTCAGTTTTTCCGACCCGAGAAAGTGTAAGGTACCCTTAAGATTAAAAGTTGAATCATAACGATTGTTTGTAACACCACTATTTCCCAAGAATCCCTTACCTTGTTCGGGGTAAAATCTATTCTAAATTCAGTTACTGTAACTATATTTTCTACCTAATAAATTGGAAATAAATATTTCAAAATTTCAATTCAAGAAATAACAATATTTACAAGACTTATAATAAAAAAATATTATATAACATATTACAAAATATAAAAAGTATAAATAACATAAAATGTATTAAAACAAAATTGACATTATTATTTATAACAAAATAATTTTGTTAAAACAAAAGCAGTTTTATTGTAATTTTAGCAATGGAAGAAAAATAATTGAGATATGAAAGGATCAGGCTGCATCAACAGTATAAATGTATAAAACTAATCATTACACTGTGTTTATTCTTGTAAAGAAGTTTAGTTTTTACTTTTTAAATTTATATCACTGTAAAATACGGTAAAATCTAATTAATCAACTGTTGTTCAATGTAAATTAAACATCTCTTAATTTCTTAATTTTATTAAAATAATGAACATAGTTTAAATCTAGAAAATTTTCCAGAAGCATTTGAAAGTCATTGTTCGATTCAAAATCAATCATACTCGCTAGCATCGAGTTGTCGATTTTCCAATGTTCGATATAATATTCGATTAATGTGTATTAAGGAACACACGTCATATCGTAGCAAAAATATAAGTTTACAAATTTATGATATCTTTGAGTCGAATCGTTTTATGTATTAAAATTGTTACTATTCTAGCATAATAAACTCTTTATATTAATTCGTTTGAGAAGTTAAGATTATAATTAAACGTAGGCTCCGAGCTTGCGCAATGATATATGGCAATGCGCAATTTGCGCAATGGTATATTCCCCTTTTCCTGAATAAAAGTTACAATTATTTAAATTGTATCGGAGAGCATTTTATAAAATCTAACGAATTAACGATATATCATTTTCTTTAAAATATATACATGGACATGGAAATGTTTATATATTAACAATCTGTCAAATATTAAGATGTAACAAGTGTTATTTGTGACATAATGAAATTGATGTGTATTGTTGATAATTGCCTAGAAGTGTATCAACAGTGCAAAATTATTAATTATCACAATTCACTGAACTTCTAAGTTATATTATTACCAGAATGGAAATCTGTCACAGGATGTTATTGCGTCAAGGAAATCAGAGAAATTCTGTAATTGAGAATATGAATCCAGGGATAAACGTCGAAGTAATATCCACAGATAATATATCTGTGAGAAATCCATCGACATCTTTGGATTCTAATTGTAATGGTAATCCACCTTCATATGAGGAAGCTGTAAACCCTAATGGTAAATGACTTTTAAAATAGATAAAGCGCATTTACTTTATTTTAAATTTGACATACATCAAAAAGGTATATGTGTACTATAATATCTTAACCCTTTGACTCTTGGATTCTTTTTTCATTGAAATTACATTTTTTCTGTTGTTCGGGTGTTAGCTAATCACAATAAAATTATTAAAAATAAAAAAAATGAAGTTTTTTTCTGTTGAAGAAAAATTTGTATTGGTATGCGAACAAGGTATATGAACATACATAATATGTTACAAAGTTTCAGTAAAGTAAAAATTGGCCAATTTAGAGCTAGACAGGTAACGAAAGTTTTTTTTATAGAACATTATTCTACATGTTTTAATCTACAAAGGTATAAACTTTGGAATGTTCTTTTTAGTAAAATTCAATAATCATATTTTCTTTGGATGATAATGTATCAGTGAAATAATTATTCAGGGAACACTTCAATTTTGTGGATTAATGTTTATTGTTTACTAAGAAAACAAAAAGTTCTTGAAATGTAGAAACAACAATTGACAATCTGTTCATTATATACTTATTGTAACAGATACTATAATATTTATTTTATCTTTTAAATATTTGATAAGAAAGTTATAAAATAAGAATAATTATAAATTACTACATAAAGATGACAAAAAAAATGAATTACGTCAATTTTTCTACAATAACATTTCAACGTTTACGCCTATTTCTTATAAGTTTTTCATCGTATCATGGGTAAATAATTATGCATTTCGGATTCCATAAAATATGTAGAATCATGTCTGGCAAAAACCTTCGTTGTCTACCAGATCCAAAAATTGGCCAATTTCCACCATTATCTTTTCAAAACATGGATCAATGCTTAGAGGCAAGAGTGTCGAACTGACTCCCCTGAAACTAGTGACTCTCGATCAGCGGTTCCCCACTACCTGTACTCTAAGAGTTGTTTGAGACTGTGTACGTAAGCAGTTGTATGTAATATTCAATTCACATGTGAAAATAAGTATGGAGAGGGTAACTCTGACGGACCAGATGGTGAGGGGAAAAATCCTAAAGAACTCGCGAACTCCGAGTTCAACAGCTCTGCTTATATATATGTACCTATATATTGCATTGTTACATTTTTGTTTCTCACTCTCTACTCATTATCAGTTGATAATACTGCTACACCACAAAAGTTCAATCTATCAATGATATTGTCTAGTTCTTGATTGAATAAAACTTAATCGCGGTCTTGCATTCTATAAATTATCATTACTATATTTCTGAATGAAAAAATTAAAATTAGACATAAAATTAGGCAAAGTGAATTTTCATACATTTCACAATAAACAAAAAATTTTTCGCACATTTCAAAAATAACTTTTATGTCTTCAAATGGATCACAATCAGATCTACATTTAATATCTCAATAAGTATAATTAACCAACATGATTAAAAATTATAAAACGTAACTACTAAAGCTACCATCAGGAGCCAAAAGGTTAAAACAATTCTTATTTAATAAAGAATTGCTTTTATTATTTTAGTTCCTCCTCCACCTTATAATGTCCTGTTTGGTCCTGTTAATCAAACACCGGCAAATGTTTCAACATTTAAGGAACTATTATCTGATTATGGAAAGAACTGTTGCCTTTTACTGCTAGGCACTTGTAAGCAACAATTTTCATTGATATTTTACATGTGTTTTCTTGCAGGAAGGAATTACCAAATTGTGTTTCATAATTTCAGTTGGATGTATTATTTGTATAGGATTAAGACTATCTATTCCAATATGCAAGATAGTTATTGGAAGTTTTTATAGTCATGACTGCCCACAAGAAGAGTATATTCCTATATATTTGTTAGTGAGTGGTAGTGTCGGAATTTTTATTTATTTTCTAGAAAGTTTGTAGCACGAAGGGGCAACGTGTAGAATCATCTATGTATTAATGAATATTTTCTCAGCATTTTGGACTATCATGGGTTAGTAATTTTGTTATTACATGGATCCATTCCATTTAATAACATTATAAATTTTTTGAATTTAATGATTATCTGTAATCTATGCATAAGTTTGTAACAGGTTTATTGTAGTACTTTTGGAACTTTGTAGGTTGTGTGTGGATTTACAAAGAATATGAACCAAATTATGAACCATCTTTGGGCAAATACTGTAACAAAACATTGTATTTATTTGCCTTTTGGATAACTCTACTGTCATTTATATACATTATAACACTATACGTTTGCAATTTAATTAACCGTTATCTATGTGGGAAGTGAAGCGAGCGAATGCGATTATGCGATGGCCAAAGATAAACAATCAAAAGTGCGACGAAGATTAGGCTAGTCCCGCCGCAGCTAAAAGGTTACACCTTAATGACCTTAGACAGTGGTTTTGCGTTACACTGCCGATCGCGACGTGTAGAGGGCGGTTGCTGGATTTGCGGCGTGCCGCGGTAAACAAATCGTTCTAGAACGGAAAGGCAGATGTATGTGAAGGATTTTATTTTTGAATAAGAATCTCAAAACTTTTTAAAATTTAATCAAACATGTTCAGATGTTCAATTAAACACAGAAAAGTTAACTGTGTTTTTATATTTCATGTTTCTTGCACTGCATTAACAGTCGATCAGAAGTAATTGTTCTCTTCGCAATATTCCCTAGGATACTTTAAATATTGTTCTCGTTCTATCAACTCCTCCGAACATTTATCTGTCAATGAATCCAAGGATACCTAAAGAATTCATTATATTAATAATCGGCCAGTAAAACTATTGGATGATTTAATTATTTTCTTGATATAAAATGCGTTTATGCGAAGTAAAAGAGATCCCCGAATACGGATATCGTAATTGGATTAACGAATGTGCCGTACAGATGTTGTTGGCTTGTAATTAAAGTGACCGGAATTTCTCGTTATACTGTTTCCAGTCTACTTAAACAGATCGTCTTGTCGTCCTTGTTCCCCAGAACTTCCGGTTTCTGGAATGTTTGAAGTAATGGACGAATTTGTATCGACCTGAA